AATCTTTCATCAATAAAAACTTTTGGATTCGAGAATTTTCTTGATCACTAACAAAGATGTTTCCAGAATAATCAAAACTCAAACTAATTGGCTTATTCAATTGATTGGATCTTGAACCCATTCCATAACATCCAACTAAACATCGAAAGCCATGCAAGCCTGAACCAACAATGCGATTATTGACACTATCCACAATGAACAAATACTTCTCAGCATCTAATACAATTCCAGTTGGACAAACAAGTATAATTGTTGGATTTAGTGATTCACTTCCAACCACTGTGATACCATTTAATTCTTCTGAGTGAAACAACTGAATTCGATCATTTTCACAATCTGCCACATATAAATCCAGATTCACATCGACAAAGATTCCTTTCGGACCATTAAGTTCATTCGAGCCACGTTCGTAAATACCTATTCCAGCAGCAACACGATTTGAGGACATCTCAGCATCATTCAATGATCTTTTCACTACTTGATCATCATTATACATTGAACAATAAAGAGTATTATTGATATCGACAAACAAACCCCAACATGATGAGTTGGCATTCATCACTGTGACAAAGGTATTTGTTTCTGCCACCCATTTCTGCACTCGACCATTCCTCCAGCCATCATCGATGTAAATATCACCATTCGATGTCACGAAGAGAGACCGAGGTCTTATAAAATTACCATGAATGATCTTTGTTGGATTGACACTCTCTTCATGCCACATTACAATTGTGTGATTTTGTTGATTAGCAACATAGATCGTGTTGTTTGTATTCACAAAAATGGCGCCAGGAGATTGACCAACAATCGATCGATTGGCAATGGTAATTCCATTGGAATTCCAAGTGGCTGTTGCAGAAAACTTTGGTTGATTGAATGAAAGACCTAAAACGAGAAAAATAGAAAGAATATTAGACAAGAACTGTAAACGAAATGACATTGTTAATTTATGTTTTTCCTTGAAAAAATTCATTGAGATTAATTTTCAAAAGATTTCTATGATTG